GAAAGAATCACTGGCCCGAGTCCCCGGGGCTGGTTGGGCAATGCAATGCGCCGGATTTTTGTTCCTTCGTCGTCAGCTGGCCACCGATCAAGCCCGATTGACTGGGATTGTGGACTATTTGCTCCGTGTGAAAGCGAGCTGTCAGGTAAGATCCATCATTTCCCTCACTTTCTGTGTATCATTCTTTTGTTGTTTTGTTGATGTGTACTTTTATTTTTTGATGTTCTCTGCACCCAACCACGCTAACGCAGGCAGCTTGTCGCCGTAATAACCTGCCACTTCCAGATACCCGGCTGTGTGTAATCCGATTACGCTTGCGAAAATTTCTTCAAACTCGTTCCACAGAACATCGGGAGTTTTTTGTATCTTGTTATCTAGTCCGTGGTCTATCGTGCTACTGGGCTGTCCACTCCCATTCAGGTGAACAGGCCGTAGACAGGACAGGACCTTAGTGAGTGTGATTGCGTAACATGGGTTGGGGTGAATTCCCCGCAACCACTCATCAAAACTGTTCCGGTTTTACAGTTATGGTTTCGCGTATGTAAGCACCTCTTACGTGGTTGTTTCGGTGGTACATTCTTCTAGACCCGAAATTTCTTCTGGGTTGTACGTTTTGGTTACCGGGACTCCTATATGCATCAGCAATTTGATTGAGCTTCCTCTTGCCGATGACGTTCTTCCAATCACCACGTTCGCATCGCTTTGTCGCTTGGAAACTGACCATGGTAGAGAGAATCCCTAGACGAAACGTTTCTGATTGCATAGTGTGGAGTCAAGGGGTTTGATCGCGATTACTTAAGCTCTATTTAAAGATGGTGGAATAAAGCTTGTTAGAGAACTCCACGTCCTGTTCTCCAAAGTGTGGAACACTAAGCAACTCCCCTCCTCGTGAGGTGAATCGATTGTTGTCCCCATCTTCAAAAAAGGCCCGCGCAATGATTGCGCAAATCGCAGGGGTATAGGCCTAATCCCGATAGCGTCGAAGCTGTTGGCGTCCGTCATTCTCCGCCGATTGTACACTACGCGTGAGAAGCAGACTCGTGAGGAGCAAGCTGGGTTTCACGCTGGTCGTGGATCGATCAAGTCTTTACCCTCCGACAGGTGCTAGAGCACCGTCATGCCTATCAAAGACCAACGGTCATTGTATTCTTAGACATCCGCATTGCCTTCGACTCTGTCGAAGAGACCGTACTATGGAACTGTTTGTTGAGGAATGGAGTACCTGAGAAGTATGCATCGATCCTCAAAGATTTGTATCGTCATACCTCAGGTCGGGTAAGGGCCTATGGTCAGCTTTCGCCACCCTTCGCCGTCTCCAGTGGAGTTCGACAAAGCTGCCCTATATCTCCATTCCTTTTCAACTTTGCCATAGAGGATGTTCTGCGGGACGCTTTGTTCGGTTTATTGAATGGTGGAGTTGAACTTCTCCCAGGGAACAGAGTTCCTGACTTAGAATATGCTGATGACATCGCCTTGCTGGGTGACAACACACAGACAGTCCAAGACGCTTTGACCGCTTGGCGATTGAGGTATCCAGGTATGGTATGTGTTTTGCACCGTCCAAGTGCAAAGTGCTGATTCACGAGTGACATTAGCCTGAGCCTGTATTCAACCTCTGGTGATCAGTCGGAGGTAGTTGAGAGCTTTAAGTACCTCGGGAGCTTGATCGCAGCTAATGGGGTGTTGAAAAGGAGATCACATCACGAATAGCGAAAGCTAGAGCAGCTTTCGCCAACTTGCAACACCTGTGGCGCCGCCATGACATCCGACTGACCCTCAAGGGAAGGGTGTACATCGCTGCAGTTCGTAGTGTTTTGCTTCACAGTTGCGAGACCTGGCCTCTCCGCGTTGAAGATGCTAATTGATTTTCTGTATTTGACCACCGATGTCTGCGAAGCATTGCTCGTGTCTGGTGGAAACATCGGCTGAGCACTGACGAGGTCCGTCGTCGTGTGTTGGGTGCGGATAATCGTTCTGTAACAGAAGTAATCGCTCTACACCGCCTCCGATGGCTTGGTCACGTATTGCGTATGCCTGCCCATCGACTACCTTTCCGTGCTCTCTTCGCACGTACCGGGCAAGGCTGGAAGAAGCGCCGCTGCGGTCAGACCATGACATGGGCTAGATGATTGAAGAAGCTGGCTTCAGCTTTGGTTTCGGTTGTTGCAGCCCGCCTTCCAGGTTTGGGCCCAAGGGATGAGGATTGTCATTGGTTATAGACGCTGAGAGATATGGCCCGGAATAGAAGTCAGTGGTGCGAATGCTGTACGGTCTGCCCGTCGAAATCCCATGCCCCGTAAAAACCAAAAAAAAATTTGAAAAAGTGTACATTGACACCGAAGAAGTTATTATCCCACTTATTCTTCATCTCCTATTCTGACAGCTTCATCTTTTCCCCATACCCTGTACCCCCCCCCTGCGCGTTATTGTTATTGGTAATTTTGTTTTGGCGTTGGCAGCAAGTTTGTTCTCAAGCCGGTGTTGAATATAAATATAAATGAACCGTGCACAGTAGAATAAAGTTTACTGATTTGGATGATAACGGTGGAATAAATGAAACGGTTCCGAACGTTCGACTTACTTTCACATGGTGATTGCTTTCGAACAGGTGTTGACGTATCACTCTTTTCGCTGTCCTCGTTTCTCCGTGTGTGCTAACCATCGAGGGTGGTGTTCCTTCACTCTCTTTGACAATTGTCTTGTTGTCCGGCCTATGTAGCTCGCTCCACAGGCGCAAGTAAACAAGAGGACAATCTATCTGTGAGCTGGAAACGAATTACCGGTGATGTGGAAAAACTGATGCATATTGCTGCCGTATTGAATATTCTCTTAAGCGTTTGGTTTACTGTTCGTGTCATCCATCCCAACGCCTTGTCTTCCTTGTACGGTAATTGCAGATACAAGGTTTTCTACTTACTTTACTCCCCGTTTATGTTAAGTGTTTGTCAAGGAGGCGATCAGGGTAGCCATTCTCTTGTTACATGTTTCCTATTTGCTTCATTTTATCGATCAAGGTTTCCGGAGTGCACATTCTCTGTGTTTGTCTCGCTAGGCAGGGCACTAAGTTTCTCGTCTGTTTAATTGGTACGAAGCTGTTGAAGTTAATGTATTATCCTGTCCAAATTGTTTTTCTATGAAAGTTCTGGCGGATAGATACATCTGAATATCTACGAATAAATATATCCTGAAACGGGATACAATCGTTCGTTTCTTTTTC